GATAATAACAATAATATCTTTTTTCATATTACATGTAAACATTAGTGTTTTAGAGTTGAGATCAGTTGATGCATGGTTGGCCATATACTCACTTGTAAGTGGGATGGAGTCATAATATTAAATTCATGGTCACTTCCTTTTTTTGTCTATTTTACTAGTGCATACATACATACACACATACACACATTTTATTTGTTACACACGTATATCCATTTTATTTGCATTTTAAGATTGAAGCACTATTGTAACATACCCCGCCTTGGGTAGCTATGCTAATCTAGAGGGGTCCTGTTGGGTCAATGACTTGGGTCAATGACCCGACAAATAAGGCTTCCTGACCTGACAGGTGACATATAAGTATTACACTGTAAGTTAAATATAATGAAAAAATTTAGCATGTGGTCTTGGTGACCCCTCAGATTGTCTACATGACCCCCCTCTTGAAATAATTAACTGGAACGCTGAATAAGAGGCCTAAAAAAATGCCAGAATTGACATAATGATGAGAGACTACTGATAAACTAATGCAATAGTGCATAGTGTTATGAAATTGCTGAACTTTTAAGGAAGTTAATGGCTATTTTTTGAGTGATCAACTTGACATTTCATGGAAACTTTAGACAAGATTTTTTGGATTAACTTTGAACCTGTTTTTTAGGAGAAAAAGGTTTAAGCAGGACTTCTGGGAAGCCTCTTCACTATAAAGGATCAGGGTTCCATCGAGTTATCAAGGATTTTATGATTCAAGGAGGAGACTTTACTAAAGGTACTTTTATTTTTATATCAAGATGGTAAATGAAAAGGCACACTTAAGCTAAAGGCTCAGATGGCCGGAGCTTTTCCTGGTTTCCTCAGCATGAAGCATGCCTAGGAGTATTGCTACCCCCCTCCCCCTCCCCCTCACCCTGGACATAATCGCTGGGTTACCCTCCAGCAGTATGTCACGTGTGCCCGTTTATACACCTGGGTGAAGAGAGACCAAGTGGAGTAAAGTTCCTTGTCTAAGGAAACAATGCAGTGGGTGACTTTAAACCACAGACCTCCAGATCCAGAGTTTGAGGTGTTAACCGCTTAACCACACATATCAAGATGGCTCAAATGGACTTTTCAGAGTTAGAGCCTTAACTATTGTCATTAGCAAAGATGCTGGAAAACAGTCTCCTTTAATAGCTGTACTATTACCTTAGGAATTTGTTGTGACTGTTGTTATTTTGACACAAGAGTTTTCATCACAATGTGTAAGTGGCTTGTAAGTGTGCCTAAGTGTAGTTTTTGCAAAAGAAGTTGCGGATTGTTGCAATGAAACCTTTTTTGATGTATAAACGGTAGGTTCTATATCTTTACTTACATTGATAAGATCTTTTTGTGAGAGTTGCGAAGGAGAGGTTTTGTAACAAGAACAGCAGTTTTGCACAGAGTTTTTAAAAGCTGCTGACTGATGCTAGGTGGTTGTTACTTTTCATGTGCGTATCAGATTTTTTTTGATCTGTAAAACATGTACTACATCAGTCTTCTAGGTAACACTAAGCAAAATTTTTAGTTGGTTTCTCACTGGACGTGTGTCAATAATGTTTTGCCAAAAATTGCCGCTTCAATGATTCTGGCACTACGCGATTCTAGTAGTGTGATGATAATCACGTAGTGTGCAACAAGATTCTCATTGTGTGGGAAATGAGACATGACTGGTAACTTACTTTTGAGTGGCACTGTATGTCATGTGCTGTACAAATCATTCTTTGCAAACCTTTGATCAATTAGAGCATGCATTTAAAATTTGTTACGTGATGAAATAAATTATATTTTTCTATTAATTTGTCTATCACAGGAAATGGTACTGGAGGAGAGTCCATTTATGGTGGCACGTTTAATGGTATGTAGCTTCACAGTATTAATCTCAATAACACGACGTGCACTTAGAGTCAGATTTAGTTGCAAAAATTAGTGAGGATTGAGTATAGTAAGCCTTTAATATCTGAATTGATTTTGTGTTATAGTCAAACAGGAATTTTATCAGTAGTTTGTCAGCCCTCGTTGTAAGCATAAAATTGAGTTGACTACAGTGAAACCCTGATATGACGAAGAGGCAAGGGACTGGCAAAATATGTTAATGTCTCTTTCTCTATAATGCATGTTAAACGTGAAGTAATTTAATTATAAAATAAGTAATGACAAGTTGGCATTGAATGGGGGAGCACTGCCTTGCACTAGGTTAGCCTTTGCAACTTGTGGTTATGTTGTGAATAGTTCTTTGAAAATACTGGCCAATGCTGTGGCTCTTACTAGCCTGCTTATGACAACAAGGCCGTATAGTTCTACGCTAGAATACAATGCATCGTAGAGCTTGCTGACCTTGACACCTTGACTACACAATTGCTTTATTGAAAAAGAACCGCCATGAAAGGGTTGCTGATAACTAGATCATGTTCCATTAACAACATTTTACTGGTGTGACAGTAAAATTGCTTTTTGTTATATCGAGGTTACATGTATTTTCCATATATAATTTTTACTATTACTGGGGTTAAAAGAAAATCGTTCATTATATTGAGGACTTTGTTATATCAAGGTTCTACTGTTCTGCAATGACTCTTATCTCAGGGCTGTTGCTAAAATTTCAAGTTGCAGGGTAAATGCAGTTAGTAGGAGGGGAATTGTACTGAGCTGTGTAGGAATTAGTTCTTTTGGTTCTGTTTTCTTTTTGTTTCCTATAAGAGAAGCCAGGGCTCACGCTCATAGTACCCAGGTAAAATCCCCCCCCCCCCCTGGTTCATAGTGACAGCCCTGTATCTTCCAGTGAACTTACACCTCATGCAAATCTGTGTCTTACAATTTATTATCTTTTACACAAGATGTTCTCAGCTTATGATTGGTTTATATTAATCTGTCAGCTAATAATAATTCAGCTTGCTCATGATGTGGAGAATGAAAACAATATTATGCAAAATTGGATTATGCAATAACATTACAGATCTCAGCATTATGACACTCTCATTGATCTTCATTACTATAATAGTAAAAAGGGCGTAATTTGCTTATCAATAATAAGCAAATTACTCCTATTTTTCAGGAAACCCTTAATTTATTATTATTATTATTATGATAAAGACGATCTAATGGGATGTACATTACTAACTGCTTATCTAAATAATATACAATATTAAAACTTATGAGAAGTACAAGGATGTAATTTTGATAACTGCAGTGACTTACATGTCATATCAAGTTTTTCATTTTTTTTGTTTTGCCTATAACAGATGAAGGATTCCCTCTTAAGCACAAGACAGCAATGTTGGTGTCCATGGCTAACAGAGGTCCAAACACTAATGGTTCTCAGTTTTTTATGTAAGTATTTGATCTTTTAAGAGATAGAAACTACTCTATAGTTTCCAAAAATCCAGACAAACCTCACCCTCATAATGTAAAATAATATTCAAGGTACAATTGAGGGGGGTGTACATTCTTTGCGAATATTAATTTGTAGATTTTGTGGTTCAATTTTCAATTCTTGGTTTGAAATTTTTGAAATTTTATCAATACTTTATCCCAAAACTAAAGAAAATAAATTTGAAACCAAGTTTAAATCTTAATCGTTTTTATATGATTTGAATTTTCTATGGGTATTAATGAATACTGCAAATAAAATCATTAATGACTTAATAAAAAAAATGCAAATACATATAATTTCAAAAATTAACATTGTTCACAAAATTACAGCATTCATTAATTCATTCATCACACTCAAATGACAACATGTACATATAGACAGATTTAGTTGAGTAGCAAAAAGCACTGATAGAGCCACTGTGCCGAGTGCAGAGCATAACCGTGGCAACCAACATGTTGAATTTCAAAGAAGTTGAGGAGTATGAGCAAGTCAAAGAGGTTAGGGAGAAAATAGCCTGTGTAGCAAGCGTTTTTGTGTGGTTTCGGAGCAAAGAAAGATGCAGGAATGACATGGAACAGGATTTTTGGTTTTGGCCGCACCAAAAATAGAACAAGAGCAAACTCTACGCAGGCTAGGGAGAAAGAAGAGAAAACAATATATTATTTTTTCTCCCCTCCCCCTTCTTACAACCTTTTTTTACCCCATGACTAGTCAAAGAGTTGCTATTTCTACTCTCCCCTGTCTTTCTCAGTGGTCAAAGATGGCAGCCATGGCAATGCAGACAAGCAGTTTTTGCTCACCTTAAAACTTTGCCTACATTGCTGGCTTCCTTGAGAGTACTTACACATACCTCGCACTAGCCCATGGTTATCTTAACCCAGCTTTGAACAAACCTGACCAAGTAAGTGATAAGCAAAGGAATCTGTGGCTACATTTGAGGTCCCATATTACATAATAATGTTGCTTTTAAGCCCCCTTCCCTGTTAGTGAAATATTGACACTAATTTTCTTTTAAGAGATAGAAACCACCCTATAAATTTGAAACCAAGTATAAAATTCAACTGCATCATGCATGTAGATGTGTAGTATAAGTCAGGTCCTGATCACTCAAAGATTGGATACATGTAGTGCTATCCACTGTATAAATTAATTATCGCTATGGAGTGGTTAGAGTGTTGTGAAATCCAATTGCCTTGCCCTCTGGATAATAATTTATCTGATGAATAGCATTACCCACCTTTTGAGCAACTGGGCACTGTTAACCTAATAACACTGGCAAAAATGGTTCAGTTCTTTTTGAATTTCCTGCTATTGTCTAATTTTCCCCTCCTTTAATTCTCAATTCCTTCCTTTTCTCAAGGCCCCCAGGCTCAAGTTTAAAAGGGGGTTTATGTACTTCAATGTATCAACTTGATAATATTAATCTCTATCCAGTAGATGATCCAGTTGGTTTCCCTAATAATTAATTTTATCCACTGGATATTAATTTATCTGTAGCCTGCGTAGCAAACGTTTCCAATCGAGTTATTGCGCAAAAGTTAGAGCGGAAGCAAAAAAAAGGTTGAAGGGGGAGGGGGAGGGGAGAAGAGGAAACGCTTGCCCGCAAACCCCACGATTCTGAAAAACGCCCCTTGATATTTCACGGTTCGGTTCATTTGAAAATTGACAGCTCGTCAGGTATAACTAACAGGTTACCCCTGGATTACCAGATTTGTAAAATTACTTTGTTCTCTAAAAGAACACGTTGCAGGTGATTGCAGGAAGTGTAATAAAAAAGATTTACGATAAAAGAAGGTTAAAACTCTGAGCGATTGCTGCGGAATTTCTTGTTTTTTATTGTGTGGCTTTATCTCGTCTGAACCCTTGTCGACACGTCAAAAATGATTTGTCCGGAACAATTCACTCCGCCGGGTATAAGTTTTGCAGAGCGGCTGCTCTTCAGCCTGTGTCAAAACGTTCTCTACAATACATGCTGCTAGATTTCCAATAAAGAAAAAGAATCTTTTCATTTCAAAAAGGTGATAAATCGCTTGTCCAAGGCGGCTCTAGCTAGTGTCGAGTACCGATGTTCTGATTTATGTTGATGTTATCTCCAACAAACAGTCCATTTTTTCCAGTCAGATCCGCACGCCGTCATTCTCAATAAATTGGCCTTCCCTGGTCTCCACTGCTCGATCTCCAATTATACTTTGAAGACTCTGATGTCATAAACCTTTGCACAAACATGATTCAAATAAATGTCAGTCCAAAGCATTTGTAATCTGCTACCACAAATCAGATGAGACCAAATCTGTGATGCACGAAAACAAAGCATAACTGGTTTGATTGATGTTTCCAATGATAAGTAATCAACACTACCCACACCGCGCCAATCAGAAGCTGCGTTCGTGGACGAACACAGTTTTTCAAAATCGTGGGGTTTGCGGGCAAGCGGTTCCTTCTTTCCCCTCCCCCTCCCCCGTCATTCCTTTTTTTTTGCTCTTGTCCCAGCTTTCTAGATGAACCTCGCGAGGAAACGCTTGCTATGCAGGCTAATTTATCTGCTAAATAGCACCTGATCCAAGGAGTGAACAACTTGGGCCAGATTTCAGGTCTTCCAACTGCTATCTCTGTGATACATAACAATATTGTAGTGTGAATAAAGACAAAGTTTTAATGTTTTAAGTTTTAGTGTGTTTTTTTTTGCTGTTCACAGAACAACTCTGCCTGCCCCACATCTTGATGGGTAAGTTTTCTTTTAACTTGATTCAACTGTTATTACTGACAGAAAGGAAATTTCTGTTTGCATTATGACATTATTGGTACAGACAAGACAGTGTTTCACATGGATTCATTTTTTAAATTTCAATACACAAATATAAAAAAGGGTATCAAATTTTGCGATATTATTTTTCAAACATCTGAATTTTTAAAAGATATCAAGATAAACTGTAACAAAAAAATGCATATTAACATTATTTCACAACAGAATAAAAATTACCAGTAAAACCAGTTAATAATTTGTTGTCGATACACCTAGGCTCTACAGTAGAAACAATGGTTGTTATTAAATCTTAATCGTTTTTATATGATTTGAATTTTCTGTGGGTATTAAATTAACATTTTTTCCATGTTATCGTTTTGTGAGGATATTTATTCACGCAAACAAATTTTGTGAAATAAAAAAATGCAAAATTAAGCAATGACATTGTACATGACTTGTATACATATGCATTTTTCTTTGTTGCAGTGCCACTCAAAAGCAAGTCACAGATCAATGATTACCCACACTTCAATTGTTTCTCTTGCTTATATAATTTGTGGCATATTATTTTTTTTATTTCTAGGATTCATGTGATATTTGGCCATGTATTGCAAGGTCAGGAAATAGTATCAGAGATAGAGATTCAAAGAGTTGATGACAAGAGTAGGCCCCTAGTGGATGTAAAGATTATCAACTGTGGTGAACTTATTCCAAAAGCAAAGGCTAAAGGTACAGGATAATTTTATGTTTCCATTGACTAAATTTATGTACAGAACTGTGCTCTAGCAGCAGTGCTGCCTGCTGACCCCTGGCATCATACTTTAGCTCTTGGGTGATGTCTTACTGTTATTTGTTAACTTTCAGCTGCAGAGAAGAAAGCTGAAAAGAAAAGAAAGAAATCTAAGCAACATTCTGACAGCAGTTCCTCAGATACTGACTCTTCATCCAGTTCTGGATCAGAATCAGACAGTGATCAGTCATCAATTGATGAGCAGCAGAAAAAGAAGGGCATGAAAAAGAAAAGAAGAAAAAAGAGGAGTGAATCTGTAAAACGCAGGGACAAGAAGAAAGCAAAGAAGAAAAAGAAAGAGATGAAAGACAGGTAAGTGGCTGTAACTGAACCACAGTACATGGAATAAAAATACATCAATACACAAACATTTTTAATAAATACATACAAAAAAAGCAAATATGATAAAAGTGAATACTGTGAATAAAATAATATTATGATCTAATAAAAAAATGCATATACATATAATTTCAAAAATTAACATTGTTCGCAAAAAGTACAGCATTCAATAGTTCATTCATTACACTCAAATGACAACATGTACATGTAGATAGATTTAGTTGAGAAGCAAAAAGGACTGATAGAAGCACTGTGCCGAGTGCAGAACATAAAAATGGCAACTAAAGTGTTGAATTCCAAAGAAGTTGAGGAGTAAGGGCAAGTCAAAGAGGTTAGGGAGAAAGTAGCCTGTGTAGCAAGCGTTTTTGTGTGGTTTCGGAGCAAAGAGAGATGGAGGAATGACATGGAACGGGATTTTTGGTTTTGGCCGCACCAAAAATATAACAAGAGCAAACTCTTGCTACGCAGGCTAGGGAGAAAGAAGAGAAAACAATATATCATTTTTTCTCCCCTCCCCCTTCTTACAACCTTTTTTTACCCCATGACTAGTCCAAGAGTTGCTATTTCTATTCTCCCCTGTCTTTCTCAGTAGTCAAAGATGACAGCCATGGCAATGCAGACAAGCAGTTTTTGCCCACCTTAAAAATTTTCCTGCATTGCTGGCTTCCCTGAGAGTACTTACACCGCCATACCTCACACTAACCCAGGGTTATCTTAACCCAGCTTTGAACAACCCTGGCCAAGTACGTGATAAGCAAAGGAATCTGTGGCTACGTTTGAGGTCCCATGTTACATAATAATGTGGCTTTTACGCCCCCTTCCCTGTTAGTGAAATATTGACACTAATATGAGCAATTAATTTGAATTCCAGTCCAGGAGATGTTAAACCAAAGAGTCCTGAACCTTTTAGTTCAGTGGCTGTGGATGAGATCCCAGATGTGCCCAATAATTCTTTTCTATTGAGAAGAAGCCGCACCCCCTCCCCTGTGAGGGAAAAGAGACTTCAGCAGGCAAAAAATAGGTATATTTCCTCTGAGGTACACCTGACCTTAATCATTTCTACGAGAGCTGGGCTCATTCCCTTTTCGGTGCATAATTATCATGAATTAGGAATTTTTGAGCATGTTAAGTCCATACTAATTTGCAATGATAAATTTTGCCCAAGGTAAAGCTCTTTCTTTGTTCAAAGCTCTGAGGTATATACTAATAAAATTAATTGTGACATACAAAAGTACTTTGGAATGGCAAGACAACTAGATTTCATCCACGGACTCAAAACTAAGAAGTGCATTTCATCCAACATACCTGATTACACACTAAGGAAATGGTACCATGTGAAAGTACTGCTGACGGAAGAGGTTTCATTTGAATGGTCACACCATAGGATTTCATACACAGACTCAAAAATTAAAACTACATAGTACCATGTGATAGCACTGCTCAATTGATTCTGATGGCAAATGGTTCAGAAAAAGTTGATCAGATGTTGAGAGATAGATGGCAGCAGTATCTTCAAGTTGTTTATATTATTTTCTGTTTGTATGACCACAGGAAAAGTAAGTCTCCTCCAGGGTATAAAGCTCCGCCTCAAAGTAATTCACAGGAAAGAACTAGGGTATGTACACCTGCTGAAATGATATTGTTTGGGAGATCAGTAGACCTTATTTCACTGTATCCACCATCTTTGCATGCACTTCAGGACTGATTAATCACGTGACATTGCATTTATCCCATCAACCCTTGAACGCGTGCGAAGATGGTGATTGTTGTGAATAAGGTCTATACCTTCAATAGAAAATATTCACAATTATTAATAAAACAACTACATCCGAGTCTCTTGGTTCTTAAAATGAAGCTTGGATTCTGCGGGTAACTATTTTTCTTTCTTTTAACACAATTATAAGACTTTTTACCCTCTATCATCTATCTCTGTCTGTTTTTCTTATCGGCAGGTTTCCAGGTCGGGAAGGATTCTACGAGGACGAGGAAATATGGTGAGCAAATTCCCAGGGTATTAGTTTAATCTTCCTCACGAGAAAAACAATACACCAGTAGAAAAGGAAATCACCAACTAATGAATCATTTAGAAGCGGTCAGGAGACAAAACAAGGCAAAACACATATCTGAAAACCCACTTACAGTGTACCCCCCTTCCCCCTTCCCCCTTCCCCCTTCCGCCCCCCTAAGCAAAGAGCCTGGGCCGAGGCTACTCCATCGGTTTGAAACAGAACTTAATCACGTGATTTTTATTTTTCAGCGGTATCGCACACCCCCGCCTTCTTCTCCGGATGAAACGCGGAACATTTCGCGCCGTTTTCCCCCACCTTTGGTGACTCGGTCAAGGTCTCCACGCAGGCGTACAAGGTCTCCTATGCGTCGTGCACGATCACCATTTAGACAGTCGAGGTCTTCTCGAGAACGCTCTAGATCTCCCCGTCGACGCTCGAATTCTCCTCGAAGACCCCCGATGTCTTCTCGAAGACGCTCGAAGTCTCCACGAAAACAATTAAATTCCTCACAGAGACGCTCGCTGTCACCTCCAAGACCCCCGATGTATTCTCGACGACGGTCGAGGTCCCCACGAAAACACTCAAATTCCCCACAGAGATGCTCGCCGTCTCCACGGAGACACTCGGGGTCTCCGCGACAACGCTCGAGGTCTCCACGAAGACATTCGAAGTCCCCACGATCACAGTTACTTCAGAGAACAGATAGCAAACAGCATATGAAAGACCGTGAATCAGCGGAAAGAGTAATGAAACAGAGCTACTCAGTAAGAGATGGTAAAAGCAGTAATAAATTTGCAACAGTTGAAACACGAGGTGAAAGGAACTCAAATGATGAAAAAGCTAACGAATGTTCACCTGCAACTGAAGAGCGCTTTCCAGAAAGGCGACGTGAAGAAGAGGAAAAGACCTTTGCAAATGAAGGCTATGCAAGGTCAAAGTTTGCTTCAATCAATGAAACTGGCAGACACAGGAGAGGAGAAAAAACTAGCAGTAACAGCGACAGTGAGGAATTTGAACAAGAAAGTCGAGACATTTTGTACAGATTGGAAAAACAGAGCCATCTTGCGCGTAAAGAAGACACCAGGGACATACGGAAACCAACTTCATAGTCGAACGGTGACGAACAGACATGGAGAAGCTTAGCCCGTGATTATGAGTCTGAAGAAGGTCATGGAACTTTGGAGGCACAAAGTTATGCACCCATTCCATTAAGCAAAGAACGTGAAAATAACCGAGAACGTCTACAATCTCGCGGTAAAAATAACGATGAACAGATTTCTCCAAACGAGGAAAGCGCAGGCAGTGAACAAGAGGACAAACGAGCTTTCCTTCAGGGTGAAGGAAGGTTTAAACATCAGGGTAGCTCAGAACGTAAAACTGGTCGTCGACAGCGCAGTAGGAGTTTTGATAGACGCAGAAGTAGCTCTCAAGAGAGTGACCGGAACCGGAAGTCACCTCATCACCATCGTTGTCATCATCATCGTCATCATCATCATCGACACCATCATAAAAGAGACGCGAGGCAATCGGAAAGAAACATTGTCGTGACCAAGAAAGATCAGGACAGTTCAAGTGACTGACTTAATTGCCTGTAAACTGCTCAAAGATCGGTGAGATCGTGAACGTAAACAGCACTTCAATTTCCAATGTACAATATTGTGTACGTTTCTGTGTAGAAACAGTCGAAATCGACACTAAAACGTGAAAAAGGAGTTATGTCTTGAGACAAATAAGAAACGGACTTACATCCGTTCAAAGTTTTTCCAACTTTTCTGAAACTTTAATTCAAACTCCTATCTAAAGAGTGAAGAACAGGCATTTATTCATGACTTATCCTTTAACGACATATTCATTGTCTTTCATACTTGTATCATTTTTCCCTTTTGGTGTCTACTTATCGTAAACTGCCGCTTCTACATCTTCGTAAGGAGTTTTAGGAGGGTTTATAAACGGAGGGGCTTACATCCGAGGGAGCTTATCACAGGAATAGAAAACGCTTCGAAGCAATCTGCAGAAGTGCTAGTCAAAATAATTTTGCATTTACTGGTTTTTAACTAAGCGTCAAAAGATCATAATAAATCGAATTCATTTCAATACATTTTGGGGGTGGTGGGTGGGGATTATAATCGGATGTATTTTTTTGTTTACGGGTTGATGGGTCTATAGTTGGTGGGGGTGGGGGTAGGGGGCTTTATAAGCGGCTTGTTGCAGTATATCCAGGATCGAACCCTAATGAGATGCACTATCCTTATGATAGCCATCACAAAGTGTCCTAATGAACAGAACATCATCAAAATACATGTAATTCGATCAAATATGAACTAGTGTAAAAATGAAAAAGAACCCAGTCAAATATCAAGTATTTTAATACAATGTGCGTTTAATCTTGGATATATTAACTAACTCTTAGAGCCGGTTTTGTGTTGTACAGGTTCTTGATATGTGTTATTGACCAAGCGTGAGATCAAGAAGGCTGGATATTGATCAAGTTCTTGTTTGCACATTCACGGATCAAAAAAGACGATAATAACAACGCAAAAAAGAACGAGGAGGCCAATATCCAGCCATCTTGACCGAACAAGCTGGGACAATAAAGGATTTATTTCATGGCCAAAAAGATATCTTTTTCTTGTTGAATCAAGGTGGAAAATGTCGAAAGGCAAGATGGGCACATCTTTCAGGCCCAGTCGAAGAGGCAATTAGTACACCGGTTTCGCGTCATATTGCCGGCTCGCGGATTCAGCCGTGCTAATAATCCTTAAAATAGCCTGGGTACCCTGTTGCTGGGGGTGCATCGTTTGCCTGTTTCTGTTAAAGCAATCCAGATTTTTATTTGCGTGATCAACTTTTCAACACGCAGTATAAAACGCTGTCGGAAAGCATCAAAAGTCTTTCATGTTTTAACGCCTCCGGCGAATTTTATGAATCTGTGGTTAACTGTCCCAAAATCTTTTAGGAATGGTATGCAAGCAATATTCCGAAACCGCGTTATTTTAATTGTGACCTAAATCATAGAAATCTTTTGACCCATAAAAGGGTGTCGTCCGTGTCTGTTTATATCAACATGCTATAAAGTCAGAAAATATAACATCCTTGTTTTCTCTCTTCAGGGCTAATATTTCGTAACTGCGCTAGCCCCCAAAATTCCTGCGCTTTCTGGTGAAAAGAAAAACAACCCGGTCTAACTCTGGGAAACTGGCTCCAGTTGTTTATTCACCGGAGAAATCGTTATCCAAAGGACATAAAGTATTAGGGACACCAACTGCACTATCCGTTTGATACTGAGATTTATTCAGTGCATAGCGTTAGACACCTTTTGAACGACTGGGGCCTGGAGTTTAAACACAAAGGCGGCAAATTTGTGTTCCAGGAAAATATACACGTTTTAATGCCAACAGTCTTTGTTGCAAAAATGCTAAAAGGAAGAAGCCAAGAAAAAGGGACCGAAGAGAGGAATGCAAGATGGAGGAGGCGGGAGCGGTCTGGACCCCTTGTTTCACCCAAAAATAGTGTAATTAAATATGCAGGAAAATTAAGTTTAAGGAAACACGTCAAATGTCAACAGTATGTTTGATGGTGTAAATGCAGGGAGAAGGGGTTACTCACGATAAGATTTACATACTTTTATATACCATTTTCACTGAAAAGGTACCTCTTTCGTATACAGTTCCATTGAACATACTACCCGGCCTTTAAATGTCTACCTGATAAGAATGAATCGCTATAACGTTAATTTAATAAATGAAAATGTTTGTACCCTTTTAGGCCTTTTATTTACCTCAACAGTGATTTCCCTGTCTTTGATAAACCTTAATCAAAGCCTCAAAAATCCGGGTACCCCTTTTCAGGCAGAACCTCCGGGTATAAGCTATTGTAGGAAGCCCCTAATCCCCCCTCCCCGGGGGGAAAGCGTCGTTGAAAGCCGGCGGTTCTCCTAAATTAAATTTGACTTCATAAACTAGTCTCACGCTTGCTACCAATTCTAAAGCTAAATGTGGGACAATTTTCTTGCTTTGCTTGATAAAGACCTGAATGAAGAAGAGAACAGTACTGCGCAAGTTTAAATTTGATTTCAAGTTGATTGTCTACTGTGAAGTGACTGTACGTTGTTCTGCACGGGTGGTCGTCCTGATGCTCGTATATTTTAGGAACGTTTTGTTGCAATACAATAAAAACCCGCAACTAAGAACCTGCATTTTTCCAAGTTAGCCTAAACAAAGTTCTTACAGAAATGGTAATTAGCACAAATTTAGGCTACGGTTCTTATCTTCTAAAGAGAAAATAGATTACAGCTAAGAGTATTTAGTGGTATTCAGCTTATTCTCTAATAAAATCTGCATAGGTATTCAGCTCTGATTCCCTTATAAAATCTGCATGCCATTATATTCAGCTGTACATTGCAGTTGGACGGATCATTCTTCAAAGAGGATCTTGATTGCTGGCTTATCTCATTTGCTCAATAATCTTACTGCGTTTCTTCTTATACATTTTAGAAAATAAGAACCTGTTTCAAATTTTAGGTATAACAGGTTCTTGTATAGAAGGGGCCTAACTGGTAAATTTTAGCCTTAACTTAAAAGGTTCTTAAAAACGAGGTTCTTAAGCCGCAAATTTCTACTGTATCTCACTACCCTTTCTGTGAAATTTTCACATCATAAAACTAAATTCCTAGCAGCATTTTTTACCACTACGATGGAGACCGAAACAGGAACAGCTGAAAACTAATGGGTTTGTCTTAGGAGCGGATATTATTTCCACGGTTGGTCGATAATTTTTTAGTAATTTTAAGACTAAATAATGACTTGATTGATCGAGGTCAGTGACTATACAATTCCTTTGCAATGATTTAATCACGTCCCCGTCGACATGATCAAGTTTTTATTTTTCGTACATTTATATCAAGTTTTTTTTTTACCCAAAACAAGCAAACAAGTGTTTCACTGTAGGACGCACGAACACAGAATTCACTGGAAACTCAAAAGTTGTCGACCGAGAAATTATGATTACATTAGTAATTCACTTGAGGTACAATCATTTAAGTGTAGCGAGGATCATTAACTGCTATCTCACTTGGGGATTGAAATCAACATTCATTAATATAACTGGCGCCACATATCGAAGAAACCATCAAGGAGAATGAAAATTAAGGATATGATGATCTGTGCCTGTTAAGTCTTCCGCTTTTTTTCGACTCAGTGTGCTTACATGTTAAGAGTCTCTTAAGTTAATTGTTTGTTTCTTCCATTCTGAATAAATGTTATCTTTGTCATTAGCGAGTCAGCGAAAACACAATGGCCAACGCGGAATAAAAACAAAATTCCAACAATATTTTTGTCTGGAAACTCCATAAAAGAAAAAAGTGGACAGCTAACAGTCAGTGAAGTTCAGCTTAGTTCTTCGTCACCATTTAAACGCTCAGTCTATTCGCTATTAGGACCTATTAGTCCGGCAGCCGGGTAAATCCTTCGATACAGAGCAGGTAAGGACGAAAACTCTATCTAAAAGCTTTTTTTATATATATAAACACGTATATCTCGTAGTTTATGATCATGACTCGTCTTAGCAAACTTTAACGAGTTACTACTGACAGAATTTATTCATATTGGATTGAAGTTTACTTTCCAACTCGAGTAATGGATAATGTTAGGGGAAGTTGTATCTCTTAGCTTTATCATTAATAGTCTGATATCACTTAACTTGTGAAATAGATAGCAGACACTTTTTCACAGTATTACACTCCAATTTCATCACTTTCTTTTGTTTAGTCGTAAACTATTGAGCACTAATTGTTACGAGTTAGTGCTCTACAGGTTACATAAAATGAAATGATCAAACTATCTCGATAACTATTAGCAACCACAAGTTTCTTTTTTCCGATTAATCTTCTCTTATGTGCCCGAAGTCGGATAACATTGATTTAACCCGGCTTTAAGCTGGGTCTTCAAGCCACCCTCCTTTTACTGAAGCACAAAGTTATGTCGAAGCAAAAGCAAAATTTATGCCTTTTGAGGGGAGCAGTTACACAGTAAATAGGGCCATGTATGAAGTCATAAGCTACGGCTGTGGATACACAGGAATTACGAACGATGAAGGCAGTTTTATTTTCGGTGGCCGTCAGCGGGTTTTGTTGTGGCTCCTTTTACTCCGAGCAGAGGCGGACTTGTTTGTTGTTGTATATATACCGCCAAGAAACAAATGAGCAAAACGAACCGCTCGATGCCTGATGAAGTGTGCAAGTGGCCCTGCTTTCTATCAGTGAATTTAAGCCGAATTTCCAGTTCGCAAGCATAGATGTAAACGGCTAAGTAGGTTGCAGATTTTTCCTTGGAATAAAGCGTTTTACTGAACAGTAGTAGTTCTTTCAATTTTAACGCAAACAGTATCGAAACTCAGTTGAGAATCACTGTGGGCTCAAAATAACAGAAAAAAATATTAGCTAATATTGCACAACTGGAAAGGTCTAAAGAGTTGCTGTGGTCTTAACGTGATGGTAGATATCGAAATAATCCTCCTTTAGAAGGCAATGGAAATTTGTTCCTAACACTGCGCGCCTTTCAGTTTTGAGAAAGACTAAGTTTTTTTGAAACAGAATAATGTTGAGATGCTAAGACTGAAAACGACCATGATCCTGAAATAACGTGCTTCGCTCACGAGGAGCTGAAGGAGCAAAGGATGAGTACGAAAAGGATCTTCAGTATAATAGTTAGTTTTATACCAACTTATGCAATTTTAAACTCAGAAACCTCTGAGAATACACCCCAAACCTAACAGCAACGTAAAATCAGTGAGTAGCTCATTACGATTCCCAAATCATCAGAACTCGAGGAAAAATATCTGAATTTTCTTTAACATTGTCCTGAAATAAACAACAAATAAGCGAGCAAACCCTGAAATATTAGTCAAGATATAAGTACAGTCGACTCCCGATAACTTGAACCTTCAAGGGAAATCGAAAAGTGTTCGGGAGCTCGAAGAAAATAGCGGGAAGTAAGGAAAAAAACAGTTTTTATTGCACTGTGAACATTTTAATCACATTTAATTGTATAAAGGTTAAGCGACAATTGAAAGATACTTCTTGATTAAATCAGAACGTAACGTAACAAAACATTGCCTAAATAGAGCATGCAATTTACTGTTTTGAGAAGTAAAGCTGTTTCACGTTAGATTTGTGACAACAACAGCCTCCACTAGTAAACTTTATGCCTACAACACGTCAATGGGAAATTCAAATTCAATGTTTCGGACGCCAGTACACTGTTTTTTTTCCCCGACTATTTTTATGGTTCGAGTTATCGAGAGTTAAGTTATATAGAAATGATCTGAGGGGAAACAAAAATTACTTCGAGTTAGCGGAAGGTTCGAATTATCGAGGGTAAAATTATAGTAAATGTATGACGGAAATCCAAGGGAAATCATTTGTGGTTCGAGTTAGCGCGAGGTTCGGGCGAATTAGCGAGGGTTCGAGTTATCGGGAGTCACTGTATGAAGCGTTCATTGTCGTAGACTGAGCCCCCACTTTTTTTTATCTCACGATAGAGTCTTTCTGAAACTGAACGTGGGCCGAAACGTTTTTTTAGTAGCTTTGCTTATGAACATCTGAATGCAGAATAAGAAAGTACTGCACAAGCTGAAATTTTATTCAACTCAAGTTTCAATTCAGTAAGAAAGTGTTGTTATGACTTCCACGATTGGTCGAATATTTCAAGGATGAGGCTTAAATAATTCAGCGTCTTATCGCGATACCTCACTTCCCTTTCCATGACATTTTGTCTGGTAAAACTAAAATCCTAACAGTTTCATTAATTTTTAACACTGCTAATGAAGCGAATTCACCCGAAACACTAGGAAAAAAAAACAGTTGAAAACTAATTAATAGTATAAATTTGTTTTAGGAGCGGATCGATCTTATTTGACCACGGTTGGTTGATAAGTTTTAGTAATTTTTAGAGGGGGGCGTAAGGGTTTGCGGGGATGCGGTGTTGCTCGATTTTTGGTGAGGTTTTGCGGGAAGTTTTATTTTTAAGTTGCTGTAATGCGGTTAAAACCTAGCGGCCTGCTGTATTTAGACATTGCGCGTAATTTCAATGCGGTTTGCGATTTTATTCCGTGCGGTGTTTATATACCGGTATTTCTGTGCGGTTTTGCGGTTTTGTTATGGTATTCTGTACAGTGTTTGGTGTTTATATATCGGTGTTTCTGTGCGGTTTTGCGGTGTTCGTACCCTCCTTACGTCC